GAAATGGCCGGAAGGTATGCGTCTTCGGTCTTGGTGATTCCCTTTCATTTTTCGCCATTATTCTCGATAGCGCGTGACTTGTTATCGTTTGCTATAGCGGTGGTTCGAACAATGCACAACCGAGTTCGTGCACTTGTTGGACACGAACGCCGTTGACATTGATCAAGCCCCTTTCGAACCATTCGAGTACAATGAAATGGAGGGCGGCGTGGATGATCATGGTTGTGCGGACGAATTGGAGGAGATCGAAGCGGAAGCGTTTGAGCAATCGCAAGCAAAAACTGGGAAAAGCATAAGATCGAAGAACTACACGATCTTGGAAGATCAAGCTTTGGTTCAAGCATGGAGTGCGGTGTCTCTTGATGCATGCACGGACACTTCTCAAACTTCCAAGAGATGTTGGCAAAGGATCAAAGATCAATACTTCCGCATTATGGCAAAGCATCCCAGTAGGACTCCACGCACATTTTGGTCGCTTCAAGGGCGTTGGGAGAACATCAAGCCTATGTGCAGCCGTTGGGCAGCTTGCTTGGAGCAAGTACGCAATGCACCTCCAAGGGGCACCGTGGAGTCCGACTATGTGAGTTTGTTTTGCCTTTGTTCAAATTGTGCATCATCATATTGCATCATGGGAAATGATTGAATCACTTTGTTCACAATGTGTAGGACAAGATTGCTCAACATAGATACAAGGACATGGAAGCTTCGGAAGACAAAATTTCCAAACTAGAGCATTGTTGGGAGTTGCTCCAAAAGTGCGAGAAGTGGAAGTTGATCGACGAAGAATCCCCATCAAAGAGAGGCTCACTTACAAACATGGATGAAGATGAGGATGATGATGGCCCAAGAAATTTGCACAAGCCCGATGGTGACAAGAAGACCAAGGAGAAGATGAAGAGAGAGCAAGAAGCATCAAGCTTGAGGGAGAAGATTGATGCCATGGTGCAATCCAACGAGTCGATGTTGTTGAAATCATTGGAGATCAAGAAAGAGTTGATCGAGAAGAAGGCGAAGGAGAAACAAGAAAAGTGGCAACTGCTCAAGGAAGAGGGGCTGCGCAAAGCTGGCATCGAGAAGAGAAGAGCACGCGCCGCCGAAAACAAATCTATTTCCATGTTGCTCGCCAAAGAGAACAAGATAATGTCAATGAACCGCAATGACATGGACGACCTCACCAAAACATGGCATGATATGACAAGGAGAGAAATCTTGAAAAGAAGAATGGTGGCGTCGGCCGGTCCGTGCTACAGTTCCGGTGAAGTTTTCTCCGCTCCATATGGTGGCAATGTGAATGATTTCGGTGCGGGAGTTAGAACAAGCGCCGGAGGTGGATTCGGTGGCGCCGATGAACTCTAAGGTGGACTCGATGACGCGGAGTGAAAATCGATCAAGATGATGCCGGACATGGGCGCAAACCTTTTGCAGAGCCCTCTTTTGCGTTAGCCGTAATAAACTTGGCTTCTATTTGCGCGTAAAATTGTTTATGTCGTTTGAATTTGAACTTGTTTGTGAAATCTCATATCAAATGCGAGATTTGTAGTTTATCTGTTTATGGGTCATCACGATGGTGTCCGAGCAGATCTACCATGGCAAAGTGGCAACGCCATAAATGACGCGAGCAGGAACCGAGATGGAAGCAGTGGAATTGACTGAGACGAGGAGACCGGCGGTGCCGCCGCGAGAGCATGGCGGTAAATCCCACTCCGCCCAAAATTTGAAGGTTGCACTTGCACTGCTCACCACAGCGGCGTGGCGGGGCCAGCGTGGCTGTACCGCCTGGGTTGCCGTGCGCCGCTGCTCGTGCCTGCGCTTTTCCGTCGCTGCTCCAGATCGCAATGAATGCCGGCTGCCATTCGGATCAAAAGCGGCCGGTGTAAATGAGGGTTGTTGGGAGCGCATTCAATACAAGCAACCTTCAGAGCCCCCGCAGACACGCGTCAGGAGGAGCTTTCAAAACCTCCTCACACCCTTCTTTTGGTGAATGAGAATGAATTCCCACGCACGGGAGTGAAGAGTGGTTTCGTTCGCTTGGTCACCAAGAGGAATTCTTCCGTCTCGCTACAGGCAAATGTACAGTCCACCCAAACCAAAGATCGAAAACGAAAGGAAATGCTATGTGGCGAACGTTCGTCAGCGAGAGGCCCGATATAAAGATTGTGAAATCGGGTCATAATGGCGGTGTCGACGATGGCCCTATTAATCCTGGCGTTATCAAGGGGTGAATGAAAACGCCTTAAATTTCCATCGGTGGCAATCAATCCGGAATATCGGAGTATTAACTAATGGTGGATTATTTTTCTTCCACAAATAATGGCTGTAACGCACCTATAGTACACAAATATCGGAGTATTAACTAATGGTGGAGTAAATGAGATGAGGTGACCACATGCATTACTCCATTTTTTTCCTGCCAAATATCTTTATTTTTTGAAAAAAAAGGGAAACAAATCGGAAAAGTTAATACTAAATCGAATCATTTTGTCCATTCCCCATAGTTCTACTCGTGCTAGCTCATTAATAGCGCAAGCAGGGAGGGGGGGCCTCCCCACTGCGCCACAGGTGACAGTTCACAGCCTCCCCGCCGCACCACGCCACCCCCCTCCCCTCCCCTCCCCGGCCCGCACCCAAAACTGCTCCGCGCAAATGGACAGAGCTCCGGTGTGATCCCACCACTCGCACTCCTCCCCTCCCCGGCCGCCGCAATGGCCGCCTCCGCCTCCGCCCCCGCGCTGCTCCTCCTCCTCCTCGCGGCGGCCGCGGCGGCGGCGACGACCACGACGGCGCTCACCGACGACGTGCTCGCGCTGGTGGTCTTCAAGACGG